TGGGAAATAAGATGACTGCCGTTAGTAAAGCTCTTTCCACACTCCATGCACTTATATGGCTTCTCCCCTGTGTGGATCCTATTATGGTAAATAAGGGAAGAACTATAACTGAAGCTCTTTCTACACTCCATGCACTTATATAGTTTCTGCCCTGTATGGATCCTTTTATCGGAATTAAGTTCACTCCTATTAGTAAAGCTCTTTCCACACTCCATGCACTTATATGGCTTCTCCCCTGTATGGATCCTATTATGGTGAGTAAGGGAATGATTATGATGTAAGCTCTTTCCACAGTCCATGCATTTATATAGTTTCTCTCCTGTGTGGATCCTTTTATGGGAAGTAAGATGACTGCCGTCAGTAAAGCTCTTTCCACACTCCATGCATTTATATGGTTTCTCCCCTGTGTGGAGCCTTTTATGGGAAGTAAGATGACTGCCGTCAGTAAAGCTCTTTCCACACTCCATGCACTTATATGGCTTCTCCCCTGTGTGGATCATATTATGGTAAGTAAGGGAAGAACTATGACTGAAGCTCTTTCCACACTCCAGGCACTTATATGGATTCTCCCCTGTGTGGATCCTGTTATGGGAAGTAAGTTCACTCCTAGTACAAAAGCTCTTTCCGCACTCTGTGCAATTATATGGCTTCTTCCCTGTGTGGATCCTTTTATGGTAAGTAAGGGAATTACTATGACTGAAGCTCTTTCCACAGTCCATGCATTTATATAGTTTCTCCCCTGTGTGGATCCTTTTATGGGAAGTAAGATGACTGCTATTAGTAAAGCTCTTTCCACACGCCATGCATTTATATGGTTTCTCCCCTGTGTGGATCCTTTTATGGGAAGTAAGATGACAGCTTTGAGTAAAGCTCTTTCCACACTCTGTGCATTTATATGGTTTCTCCCCTGTGTGGATCCTTTTATGGGAAGTAAGATGACAGCTTTTAGTAAAGCTCTTTCCACACGCCATGCATTTATATGGTTTCTCCCCTGTGTGGATCCTTTTATGGGAAGTAAGATGACTGCTATTAGTAAAGCTCTTTCCACACTCCATGCATTTATATGGTTTCTCCCCTGTGTGGAGCCTTTTATGGGAATTAAGATGACCGCTGTCAGTAAAGCTCTTTCCACACTCCATGCATTTATACGGTTTCTCCCCTGTGTGAAGCCTTTTATGGGAATTAAGATGACTGCCATTAGTAAAGCTCTTTCCACACTCCATGCATTTATATGGTTTCTCCCCTGTGTGGAGCCTTTTATGGGAAGTAAGACTACTGCTTTGAGAAAAGCTCTTTCCACACTCCATGCATTTATATGGTTTCTCCCCTGTGTGGAGCCTTTTATGGGAATTAAGATGACCGCTGTCAGTAAAGCTCTT